GGAAGTTCTTTCCTGAACGAGTGGTGAGGCACTGGAACAGGCTGCCCAGGGAGGTGGTGGAGTCACCAACCCTGGAGGTGTTTAAAAAAAAAGGAGATCTAGCACTTGAGGCTGTGGTGTAGTGGTTAGGTGTGCTGGGATGGAGGTTGGACTAGATGATCTTCAGAGGTCCCTTCCAACCTCGAACATTCTGTGATTCTGTGGGGTGGCAGGTTCTTGTGCCGCTGTCTCTGCACATGGTGCTGGAGCGCTTGGGGATGTTGGAGCGAGCGGGGGCTGTCGTTTGTTGGGGGGGATGATGGCTGTGTGTCCCCTGCCGCTCACAGGTGGGTTCAGAGCCCACATGAGCTTGAAGCTGGAGCTCAAGCTTGACAGAAGGTTTCACCAAAGCTCCCGGCTCCTAATCGCCACGTGGCAGTCGTCCCCCTCGCCGTAGCCGCACGTGGTGTTGCTAATGTGGTTGTCAGCCAAGATTTGGGCTGGAATTGACCCCCCCCAGCCCTGTTGTGGGGATTTCATCATGCCAGTGACAGGCATGGTTGTGGTATTTAATTCTTGTCTGTAACTCTGTGCAGGCACGTGTATTTAAAGATATAAAAATTACAGACTTCTGCAGGAGTGGGCTGCTGACAGGCTGGACCAGCAGAGTGGTCACGGTGCTGCAGCTGGTGTGTGGGGAAGGCTGTTCTCCTCCAGAGCAGGAGCTGATTAGAGAGAAAGTGACCTCGGAGACACTCAGCAATGAGTTTAGGCCCAGCTGGTTTGATTGCAAGTTAATTAAACCAGTGTTGTTCTGGCAGAGCAAAGGCTCCAGCTGGCCGTGAGGGACTTGGTGAAGGAACCAAAGCTGAATTTTTTCTTGAAGGAGGTCCTCAAGAACTTGCTGCAGGCAGGGAGAGGGTCCCCATGCTACTTGCCTCCCCATCGCTTGCTGGAAGCTGTTGCTGCCTTTTTCCTGCTAACCTGGCTTTTCTTTTCCTGTTCACTAGGTCAAGCTGGGAGCTGCCCGACCTGCGAGAAGGAAGAGTAAAAGCCATCAGTGATTCGGATGGTGTGAGCTACCCGTGGTATGGAAACACCACTGAAACTGTGACCCTGGTCGGGCCCACTAACAAGATCTCCAGGTTCTCGGTGAGCATGAATGACAATTTCTACCCCAGTGTGACGTGGGCTGTCCCTGTGAGCAACAGTAACGTGCCGCTGCTGACCAGGATTAAAAGGGACCAGAGCTTTACCACGTGGCTGGTGGCCATGAACACCACCACCAAGGAAAAGATCATCTTGCAGACTATCAAGTGGAGGATGCGCGTGGACATTGAGGTGGATCCCATGCAGCTGCTGGGGCAGCGGGCACGGCTGGTGGGAAGGACTCAGCAAGAGCAGCCCCGGATCCTCAGTAGGATGGAGCCCATCCCACCAAACGCACTAGTGAAACCCAACGCCAACGATGCCCAGGTCCTCATGTGGAGACCCAAACGAGGGCAGCCAATAGTCGTGATACCTCCCAAGTAGAGCTGTGCTGGGGCATGTGTGTGAGGACCTGGGGGCCGTCGGCCTGTTGCAAGCGAATAGGGTTCTCCTGCCTTTGTAGCTGCGGTTGGAAACGTGGCTCCTCCTTAGTCAGAAAGAGAGCCCGACCAGCACGGAAGTGTGGGAGAGGGATCACTGAGCTGGAGAATTTCCCAGGAAGCGGAACTGAGTAATATCTAGGGGCTTACGGCTGGCAAAGAGGCTGTCTGACCTAAATGACTCGTCTTTCCTTGCAGGGCAATGCAAGGAACACGAGTGCGATAGAACTGTGCCTGTGGCAAATGCTGCTTTCCACCCGACTGGAGGTAGAATCGGGGGCTGGAGGGCTCCTGCAGTGGCCCTTCCTGCTGGGGCGTGGGATTCCCCTATGGTGTCTATACCTATGCATTTTGGATCAATAATCGACCCCCTTGCCCTGCCCATTGGGACTGGGCGGGAGGGCCCATGAGCAGAGCGGGAGCTGGCTCGGCACTGTGCTCGGGAGGGGTTTTCTGCAGCTGAGGGGAAGTGGGACACGTTTTGCATGCATCTGGTGTGTGTTTGGAGTAGTTTTGAGTGTAGGAGATGCCATAGCTCTTTTCCGTCTTGGAGTGAGACCTGAGGGCAGGTTAGATGTCCTTTTGTTTTAAGGTGCACTAGATCTTTGCGGTTCCTCAACCTCCCTCCCCGCAAATCCCGCTGACCCTTCTCTTATGGAAGCAAAACCAATTCTCAGCCGAGGGAGGAGTTGGGAGCGGTGCCTGTTTGCCCAGCCCAGGTGCTTGCTGTTCGTGTGTGAGTGTACCCAGACCAGCTTGGAGGTACTCTGAGACCTGCACGCTTCCACTGCAGACCCAAGTCCTTTGCAAGGATTTGGGTGCTTGCTCATTTTCCATGCAAATGCTGACTTACAATGGAGATTCTCCTCCTCCTGAGCCCCGCAAAGAGCGGGGTGGCCCTCCCTGTGGTACCTCCCCAGGCTCTGCAGGGCTGGGGGTCCCCTCTCAGTGGGTTGGAGGCAGGGATGTGAGCAGAGGGCTGCTCAGGGCAGGCCTGGGCTGGCCTGGGAAGGAGCAGGCAAGTGTGCTGCCCGGGTGCTGTCTCCTGCTGCTGCGGGTTCTTGGTGGTATAACAAGGGGGTTTATCTGCCTTTCTCCTTGCCCCTCGCTTCCCGGGTGGCCAGCATCATCTGGTCTGCGGGGCAGTGCCGTGGGCTGCTACCTGCGATTCCCAATATCTTGCCCTCAAGATGCAGCAGAGGTGTAAGCCACAGCTGTGCTGACAACGCCCCGGGCGCTCCTGGGCAGATGGTTACAGCTTTTGCCGCTTTCTCCGCTCCAACCACCACCCTGGCCCAAGCCCCATGGCTCCTGCAGCTCATGCCCCTGCCTTTATGCCATAGGAGGCTTGTGCTGCCCTGGGGATGGGGGTAATTCCGGCTGGGACCGTCTCATCTTTCTGTCCTGCTGCCAGAAGAGCCTGGGGAGCGTCGCCACGTTCGACACTTCCATGCAAAGCCTTTTCTGGCCATTGGAACACCCAGCCCAGCGGTGCTTTGTTCCCCTTGCTGTGCTGGCACATCCCTGCAGCATTGTGCCGCGGAGAGCAGCCAAGCTCCTGCAAAACATCAGCCGCAGCTTGTGGTTTTCCAGGGCAAGATGTGCACTGCGGTCCCTGCTGGCGAAGGGGCTCCCCAGGCATCTTAGACCAAAAATACCCGTGAATTCCCCATGAAATCTCAGTAGTGTTTGCTGCTGATTCAATTCTTTATTTATTTATGTTTTCTTTTGGGAGTGTTGCATTCTGATGCTTCAATGCACACTTTCCTATGCCAGGGCTGGTGGTCCTGCTCCTCCCACTTGGGTTCATGGTGGGCTGGGATCCTGCTGCTTTTGGTGCCTACACCTGGGTTTCGCCGGGGGCTACAGCCTTGCAGTGGGAAGGGTTTGGAGGGAGAGGGGGCTCTGAGCTTTAGTGTGTTGTGTTTCCTGGAGCAAAACTCCTACTGGGAGCTTGCCAGCATGGGAAGATATCCCGCTCTTGTGAGACTTTACCCATGGTTTTGTCCTGGTACGGGATTGATGGCAGCTTTTGCCACCACCGATGTTTCATTTCTCAAAAAGCATATGTGGAGAGGGGTTAGAAACTTTAAGTACAATCTTCTTTTAACTTTTGTGGGAGGAAGAGAGGCAAGTACCTTTTGGTTTGAAATACGGCAGACCTATGCTTTTGACCCAGTGGGTCAGAAGCATCTCTGGCAGCTTCAGATCTAACAAGCCAGGCAAAGGCGTTTCCCGACAAGTGGGTAGCCCCAGGGTGGGCTCCCTGCTGGGAGAGGATGCTGTGTCCAGAGGGGCTGGGTGAGGCAGCTCCCCAAAACCCACAGGGAAGGGCTGCCCTCAGGCTGTGTGCCGGCCCTCAGCCTGGGAGCTGCTGAGGCAGGGATGCTGTTGAATTCGTTGTCATCTTCTGGGATGCACTGGCCGGCTGGGGCCCCGCTGAGGTGTCTGCCGTGGCGCC